TGAGTCACTGCTGCGGCTCCTTCCTGTTCCCATGCCAACCACGGGCCAGCTGGCGGGGCAGCTTCCTAAGGCCAGCAGAGGAACCTCGCCATCTCCTTCCTGCAGACGCGCTTCAGAACTAACCGAGGACTGAATAAATCAATTTCACAATCCGCGGAGGAGTCCAAATTCAATTTGAAAACAGCTGTTGGATCACTGGATCTCCTTCACCCCTTTTAAAAATTCCTGTCAACACTACATGCTCTTTTGGCCCCTTAATTTTCTCTGTTCTTCTTCACTGTAGAATCTCTTAGGCGTTTTCTATATTTGTCTTCATTTTCTTACCTATAATTCAGCATTTAATATTTGTGAAAAATTTCTTAAAATCTAGAAAAATACAAAGAACAGTTAAGTACATTGTCCTATCCAGTATCACCTCTCCCTCCCTCTCTCCACCTCTCACTTTAAGCATCTCCCTTTTTTCACATCCTATTTCTTCTTCCAGTGATACCCATCGTCACTATTGGTCAACCTTCTTATATGTCCACGTTAAAACACCATTAATTCACATACACAATCAACATGCATTGTTCTGTGTGGTATTTTTTAGATTCAACATGTTTTGAAACTTGCTTATGTTGGGAAACAAAGATTTCATTTTTATCAGTTGAAATGCTGCATTGTATTTTATCACATTCCGTATTTTGTTAATCTATTCTTTTACCAGTAGACTTTGAGGCTGTTTCTAAGTATCAGTTCTTACAAGTAGTGTAGCCATGAATATCCCATATCCTTGTATATATTATAAATATGTATAAATGAGTATCTCCAAAAGTGAAATCATTGAATTTAGGGGGGAGTTACGTGTCTTTTAAACTTTCAGAGCATGTAAAAAGCTGGAGTATAGAAAATAGAACTACATATAATAATACCCATATTTATAAATGTTTATTGATGCAGTATGTATTTTTATAAACTGTTATAACGTGCATACATAGAATGAAGTAAAAGAAGGATCGTAGTATATTTATGTAGTCATAACTTGACATCTCTGCTTCTTAGATCACAACCACTTTCCTTTACAAAGCACCTACATATATGAGTGTTCCACTCTGTTTACCTAAGTTCTACCCTCCAGCACTAAAGCTTTCTGTGTGTCCTCTATTATACCATCCTAGAACATCTTACTGTATTTATGTGTGTGCATTTCTATTTATTTCTTAGGAAAATTGGAAAACTGCTAACTCTCAAAGTATGAATTTTATAAGACACCTAATAAATATAAGATATGGCTACTTTAAAAATCAACACTCATTTTCTGGAGATTTTTTTTTTCACAGGGATAAATACCAATACACTCAGGTTGATAGTGTTCTAAAGCTGCCGCTTCAGAATGCAAAGTTCGTGTCACATTTTTTTTTTTTCCTTTTCTGGAATATCAACAGTTTTAAGTGACCTCATATGACTCACACGGCATTTATTTTGCTGCCTAGGAAACTACACAAGTGGTGGTCTGGGGCGGGTGAAAGATGAAGCATCCAGAGTACAAGGTTTGCAGTTTTCTGGGAGACTAGAAGCATGGAGCTGGGAAATTCACAGCCACAGGACCGCTTTGTCCATGCCCAGGGGGCCCCAGGAGTGAGTATGAGGAGCAGTGTCTGCAGGACTTTTAAGAAAGCTTTGGATATGCTCAAGGGTTCAACTGACACAGGATGGCGTCCTCAACATTCCCACATTACAAAGCAGGTGGGGCCTCACCTTGGTCTGAAATGGTATTTGCTTTTAATTTTAAAAAGTAATTTTCCTTCCATCACTAAAACGGGTTCTTCAGCAAATGGTACCCACATAAATGAATGAGTCTTGGGCACTGGGTTTGGTGCTCAATTGCTTCTGGCTGTAATTAGTGAAATTTCAGTTCTCTCTTAAGTGTGATGATCCCATCTGCTGTCACCATGTGCCTCAGAAGTGCACATCCACTGTTCGATCAATAGCTGTGCTCCGTAATTTAACCACAACATGAAGCAGGGGGAAGCAAGCCTTTCCGTGAGTCAGTGATCTTTCCGTCTGTTTCTTATCCACAAGAACATGGCAGAGCTGTTCCACAAAACTTGGAAGCCCCCTACCCACCCTGCCATGGCATTCAAAGCACAGCCTGGCATGCTCCAAGGGAAACTGAGTACCTGTTAGGCATCGAGGTCATCAACATGTAAACTCTCTCCACCTGTTCTACTATGGGATGCCCATGAGAGCTGAGGACCATCCGGACTTTCTCAAGATGGCCCATTTCAGCTACAGCAGACGCTGTCCCCCGTTTTGGGAAGTCCCGTGACAGGCACTGCCTGAGCCGCCCAGGAAGCAGCACCCTGTGGAACTACATACACACAAAGCCTTAAGTTTAGCACAGAAACCATTCTCAGTCAGCCACCAGCAGACACGTAGACATCTCAAGTGAAATAAATCCCTTCTGCACGTGGAGACAGTCTGGCAGGATAACCTGTGCATGTACCCAAGACAGTGCTCTGTCCAGGCTCCGTACGAACACATGTGACAAATTAGTAATAAGAGCAGCCCTTGTTTGCTGGGCTTCTTTATGCCATTTATTGAAAAGTGGAGATGAAAAATGGCCAAGTGAGTATCTAAAATCAGATCTATGAGGCACAATGCTTTTTGATTTCTCCGGCTGCCTCTCCGTGAGGTAATGCAATGAATAACTGGAATATGAGTAAACATGGAGAATTTTGCTGTATCACTACTCCAGGAGTCACATACTTTTCTTCTACTATATTAATATGAACTAGGTATGGCAGATGAGCAAGAAATATAACATGAAAAACTCTGCATAAAGAGAGTCAAAATTTTTAATTTTTTGTAACCAAGTTATGCCCTCCTCCAGGAACCCTTCAATTACCACACTCAAAAACAGACAAGGACACACGTGCACCCCCAACTCACCCGCCTCTACCTTGCTCTTGCCTTGGTTCTGCTCTTCTGTTCCTAATAACCACTCACTTGTCACCACCTGTAATATACATTTGTTTCCTGTTTCTTTCCAGTAGAAGATAAACTTCAACAAGCAGGGATTTAAAATTTCAAAAAGCATTACTATGTTTTAAATAAACCACAAACAGTTTATGATCTATGGAGTAGGTGATCCACAAACATATACTGACTCAATAAAGAAAATCAAACATACATGTCAATTATTTCTAATATGTTACATCCTTTTTAAAAGTCTTTAAGAAAAATCAAGATGGAAGTGATTTAAGGAACAAATATTTAATATTCTATATCTGAAAACCTACCCATAACAAAGACTGTGCTGTTCAAAAATATTTGATTACAAATTCTGAAAGAATACTTTACATTTAAGGAGCTTTGAAATAGCGATTTGAAAGGGAGTGGAATATAAACATCAAACATACTGCACATGAATGAGAGATTCGAAGTAAAAAATCAAATCAAATCATCAAATGTAACTTATGACAATATTAGTAATACAGGCATATTATAAAAGTAGAACTGATTTTAATTCCTCAGGTTATTTGCTACCATATTTTGTTAAGGAGCAACAAGGGAAAACGTTAAGAACAAATTCCTGAAAATTTCAAATAGAATACATTTCTATGAAACAGGAAACTAACACTTTTGAGAAGTACAATACCTTGCTTGCAAATCTACCTTTGTAAGTGTGGCTCATATAAAATTATAGTCACCATGAAAATGTATTTTAAGTAGAAGCCCAAATACTCTTAATAGGCACTAACTCAACTGATTGATAAAAACATCTTCCAGGAAGTGACAGAGTACATTTCCAATGCTACCTCAGGGAATACTGTGTTCTTTAAAAAATTCTGTCAGGTTAGCTATTCTAATTGAAAAATACTCATTTCTATGCTGAGCAGGACAGTTCTTAGTTATACTATCTACTTTAGGATTATGTGTACATTATTTTAGATATTTGCAAATATCTAAAATGACCCAATTCCTTTTTGTTCCTTCATAGTTTTTAATGCTTCCTTTTACACTCACTTTCTTTTCTGAATGAGTAGATTCCAGGTATTCAGCTACCTTTGACTGTTTTCATTTAACATAGGTTTTTAGTAGATTCTCAGTGTTTCCTTTGAAACGATGTGGATTTTGATTTTTAACAAAGGTATCTGGCCAGCACCTCCTGTTGTAACCCCTTTAGCTTAGGCTACCATGCTTATGAAGACAAAAGCTAAAGGACTCAAAACTAAAACTAAGCCTTCTTAATTAAATTAAAGATGACTTTTCCAAAACACCCTTGCTCTTCATGAAAATTTACTGTGTCTATTTTACCAAAAGATGCATCTCAGTATATGCTTTCAAGCAGCAGCCAAGTACGTGATGGGGATAATCTAATAAAAGTTACTACTAAGGCTGAAATAAGAGAATAAGAAACAGAAAATCACAAGATGAGAGGAATAAACCGGGGTCAGGCCGTATTGGGTCTAAAAACTCAACTCAGTATTTATTCTGGTGCAGAAAGGAATCATTTGGTCTCTCCGAGTTTGGGCTCGTTATTTTGTAGGTAAACATAACCAGGCCTCCACTGTGAGGCTAGCTTGAGGGCAGCAGGGGACCGAGGGTGCCTGACCACAGCAATGTTAAGTGAGCGGTGGCCACGGCCCGTGTGTGCCCAGAGGCCGGCAGCCCATGACAGTCTGTGCCTTGGGGCCCTGGTTTTCTTCTCTCCCTGAAGTGTAGTCAGCCCAAGACAGAACTTGGGAGTAAATGTCATCCTTGGGCTCTGCTTCTTCCTTTTCTCACCCTGCCCGCTTCTTCACTCTTCACTCCCCTCCCACTGCTGCGCTGCCTTTGAGCTTCACTGTCTTCCGAGGTGATTTCCCAATTTGAAGATTCTTGCTGAAGGATCTAATCCTGCGTGCAATCAACGGCTCTCTGTGTGGGTGGTGATATTCACAGAGTTTCCACAGGCTTGCCCCCCCGGCTTAGTGTGCTCCCCTGGCCAGATCATCAGCGCGGAATTTCACCCTCACCTTTCTGAGTCTGGTGGCAGTTTTAAGAACCACGTCAGATGGGGAAGGTTGGACTTTGAGATGGACAGGTTCGATACCGCGGTGGAGTCTCCGGTCGGTCTCCTGCACACAGGTAAGGCAGTGCCAGGGAAGATGCCAAAGTCACTTCAAGCCCTGAAAGCCTGCCCCCAACCCCCCGGAGGAGGGAGGAGCCCAAGTGCCCTTGTAGTAAATTCTGCTTATGGCGCTAAGCAGCCAAGTCCTAAAGAGTCAGCATACACTAAACAAAAGCAGTTATTTTTGTTCCCCTTAAATTTGCAAAGGTCAAGTATTTTTCTACTCAACAAATAACTTTTATTGATTGATGAACTTCTGATCAGTTTCCTAGAGAGCCTTTGTGAAACGGTTTACATCAGGAGGCCAGAGTGATGATGCTCGCAAATCTGTGAAACCCACATTCTCTTGAGCTACCTCATGAGCTGCTTATCTAGAAGCCAGAATACTGCAGACCTCTCCTGTCCCCTTAGGACTTCTTAGTTAAGTCAGTTCATGCATTCTACCCGATCAGCGCCCAACAAGGCTGAAACAAAACTAAAGTGGACTGTATCAAATCAGGAATGAGCCCAGAATAAAATAAACAAAAACCTGGTAAATCACTATCCTTTTGTAGTTGCTGGGAAAAAGAAATAATTTCTGGTCACAATAAATGAAGTTCACTTCTCAGTAATTCCATCCTCACTCCTTTAAAGCAAATACTGGAGAGGAAGGTAAGAAAGTGTGCTCCTCTCTTTACTGCAGCCAGTCTAAACTAACTGGAGCCACCTGGTATCTAAACTTGTTAGCAGGGTCTGTAATATAACATGGGTGAGGTGTGTGAAAAATACCGTGTTCAGGGCACCCGCAGTTTTTGCTAAAGTTTCCCCCAGTGCAGATGGTGCTCGCGGTTCACCTCTGATCACAGAGGGGAAGCACAGGCTTCCCAGCTTGTCCATGTCATTCAGAGCCAACACATAACAGAAAGAAAAGAAACAACGAAAATGAGAGAAGAGTGAGGGAGGATGGGAGGGAGAGAGGGAGGCAGGAAAGCAGACTGCAAATATGATGCAAGTGGAGGGCAGAGCTATGTCACAGCTGTAGCTCCACGGGGAGTGCACATTCATTCTCTCATTCTCTCATTCTCTCTCTCTCTCTCTCTCTCTCTCTCTCTCTCTCTCTGTCTCTCTCTCTCTGTCTCTCATGGTCACTTTCTCTCATTCATATTTAACCTCCTCCCCATTTTTCCTGGAAAGAAATGGCATTGTCTAAAAGAAAATTCTTCTGCTTCCAGGTAAGTGAAAAAATAAAGCAGCAGCTCTTGCACGCTCCATGTACAGAAGCCATTTGGGCTGGAGGTGTCTGAAGAAATTACAAGGGCACCTGTGACAAAAATCAGTGTGTTGCTTCTCTGCAACCTACCTTTCCTGCCCTTCCAAGAGATGGCTTAAGGGCATAGGGGGAAAGAGAGTTAATTACACAACAGCCCCGATCTCCTGATGTGTAGCTTTACTGGGGTGTCAGCGATAGTCTCCTGAGTATGAGCAGAGAAAATGGTACAAAACCTTTCCGCGCACAGAAAATCTGACACCTCTGCTCAGGGAAGCACATTCTATCCCATTCACTTCTTCCCTGGGAACCAGTGATATAAAGTTACAGGAATGAGCTACAAAGTTACATTCAACAAGGTATCATTTTCCACTTCTAGGTGGGGGGGATGACAACAGTGCAGATGTCACTCAGGAGTAACTAATGTTTTGGTGTGTTGCTAGTGGAAGAGCAAATTACAAACCTTTTAGGGAAGTCATTCATTGATTTCCATTCAGTACTATGAATTGAACATATAAAATGCATTGTTCCACTAGCCACAAACTCATTAAAGTACTAAATACAATAGAATATTTGTGCTAGCTAATTAAGCTTCAACTAAACCATGAACATCTCTAGGATTAAAAAATAAAACAAAACAAAAGGAAATCAAGGTAGCCCCAAGGCAGGGGCCAGGTCCACACAACAGCTAAGGTCAATCAAAAGAGGAGCAAGAAGGTCTTTGCCTGAGTTAAATGCCAAAGATACTAAAGAGGTGTTTGTTTTGCTAGAGTTCACAATACTCTTATGTATTAGTCAACTCTCCATGATTACAGCAAGACACCTGAGATAATCAGCTTCACAGGAGGAGAGATGCATTTGGGATCATAGTGTCAGAGGGTTCAGTCCATGGCTGCCAGCCGTGGGGCTGCAGCCATCATGCTGGAAGGGGGAGGCAGGCCAAGGTGCCTGTTCACTTGAGGACCGCTTGAAGCAGAGGAGAAGCAGGCAGAGGTTGGTCTCCTCCCAGCATTACCTCCAGAGCATCCCAGGATCTAACTCCTTCCTCTAGGTCCAGCCTCTTGAGGCTTCCCAGATACCCAAGAGCACCAAGACTTCAACATATGGCCCTTTGGGTAGCCTCTGAGGCCCACAACATGGTACCCATCAGTGCAGGAGGTTTCTCCTTAGCCCTAACTGAGACAAACTCCATTCCTAGAAGCAGGGAATCTAGGTTGGACAGAACAGGGCTGGGGGCTGGCATGGTCACATTCACAGCACATCTGTCATCACAGCTGGACCCCACAGGAGGTGACATGGTGGATCCTCGACTGAGCAGTGGCTTGTGCTGTGAGTACTGCTTCTCCAGCTTGACCCACGAGGGACACCACATCACAGTGTCAAAAGCAAAGGTGACATGAGTGTAGGACCCAGGACAAGGAAACACAGTGAGCACAAGAAGTATGCACCCCACACACTGGTGATGACAAAACAAAGGGAGACTTTAAACAAATAGGAACCTTTCAAGAGATAGAGGGAAGAATAGAAACTATTAAACAGAACAATCAGGTGGAAACAAAAGAGATTCTACATAAAAAGCACAGCCATTAAAATAATTACACTGACAAGTTGATTTATAGGCTAGACTGAATTGAAGGCGGAATAAGTAAACTGGAAGATTAAGCTCATAAAATTATCTACAACTTAATATATACATACATGCCAATAAACATATATAGTAAGGTTTCTATATATCCAGCTGGTGTATGTTTCTCATGAAAAAACAAATCCAAAATACTGACAAGGTTTTACACACAAAGATGTTTACTATGAGTTCAATTTTAACGTAAAATTCAAAACTCAGAAATAATGGCAGTGTTCATTCACTTAGACAAATAGTATGCTTCAATTAAAATGGAGTGTATGCCAGGTGTGGTGGCAAACGCCTGTAATTTTAGCACTTAGGAGGCTGAATCAGATGAGATCACTGTGACTGTGAGGCCAGCCTAGGCTATGTGGTGAGCTCAAGGCCAGTCGGAACTGCACAGTGAGACCCTGTCTTGAAAAAACCAAAACATGAAATACAACATCTGAAAAAACTGGAACATGCATATGAAGTAAATCTAAGGGGAAAAAGCATGCTATAAACTTGTCAATAATTGCAATTCAATAACATGTACAGAAAAATTAACTATCCGCAAACTAGCATGACAGCAGAGACAGTGCAATTATACCATATTTTTCTTTCGGTAGCCCTCTAGGTAGGAGTTAAGAAGTATTAATTGCCTGCATTAGGCAATTTCTTTAATTAAAAATTTTCAACTCTTGAGTTAGAGTTTCAACTGTTGAGTCATCATAATGTGAATTCTGGAATCTCAAGAGAAATTTTCCAAATCTCAAGAGAAAATTTCCAATCCCAATACACATATCTACAAGGTAAAGCAATGCTCTGGTTGTGAGCTTCAGCCTCTTGGCTCACACTGTCCTAGGTACCCTGTGGACAAAGCTTTCCTGCCAAAGCAGAGCTCCCAGGAAAGACCTCATGCTCTGGCCACCTGCAGGACACTCAGGGTGACAGGCACTTTCCAGAGCCCAGCCCAGTACCTTCTAAAACATCTTCTCAATTAGGAACCCACCACCAGGTGCTCACAAACACAGTTTTTCTTACCTATTCCTCAGGAATTTAGGAATGGTATAAATGACCTTCAAGCACACTTTGAATAGTTTCTAGAAAAAGTGATATAAACCAAGCCTGAATTTCTCACATAAAAAATAATTTTCCGTAACTCCTAACTGTGCCCCAACACCTTCTGTTCTACAGAAAACCATACTGAATTAACTAATAATCTAGACTTGAAAACTGTCTACTGCATATTTTAATCAAAGAGAGTAACACATATTTTTGTGCTGATATCGATTCATATTGAGGATGTAACACGGTATATAGAATTTTAGCATTACTTCCGAAAAAAGTTTTCAAGATTTCAAAAGTTTAGGGTGATGGACAAAATCTCTCAAAAGACTTTAAAGCCAGACCTTCCAGACACTTCGGTGGTGACCACTGGATGACCGTAAAGCGGTCTGCGTCCTCTGGCCTCTCCTGAAGAGGTCTGATCAGACTGCCCCACAGCCTGCAGGACTGCAACTCCTCTGCCTTCTCGCCATTGCAGCGGCTGGGGAGTTCACCTTCTATTATACAGCACCCGTCTGTAAACTGCAGACTCTCAGGAAGTCCATGCACAGATTTTACCTTGAGGCCTCAATACGCTCAAATTTCAGTGTCCAGAAATGCAAAACACTGTTGCGACTCAGGGTGCTGAGTGCACAAGACAAGGCCTGTTCATCGGGGCCAGAAAGCTTACAGCCGACTCTCCAGAAAGCAACCTATAATTTCCTTATGTCTACTACGAAGAAACTCGAAGGCTGAGCGTGCCTGTGGGTAGGAGGCTATGAAACAAGTCTAGATTCGCACTGGAGTGCTGGTCCCTGTCCTGTGTGTTGCCTCTATGCATTTCTAACTGTGTTTTCTTTTCCATGAAACCTCTGCAGTTAACATGACACAGGACCATCTGAAAAGCTATGGTCCTTCAAGGAGGCTCCCTGGAGCCCTGCCCCCTCCAGAGAGGCCGCCACGCTCAGAATGCTTCAGCATGCTCCCTGGAGGACACCTCCCCAGGCGTGCAGGACAGTCCCTCCTTTGATGGTGAATCCATCACTCGTTCATCCTCCCTGGCTGCAGCTTCTCTGTTCTGCTCCTGCATCCCAGCTTCCCCTTGCACCCT